GCTGACGACGTAGATGTGTGGTCAGAGAATTCAGCTCGTTTGTAGTTGAAGCTGTCCTTGTCTGACAGGATCTTCTGGAAGGGTGGAGCTTGGATCTTGTAGGCGACTGCCTTGCCGTTGACGGGGTTTCGACTGTTAGGGTTGCAAATCTTGAATGAGCGGTTGTTGTCGTAGTCAATATCATAACCACCTGATTTCTCAACAACAGTCTCTTTGACGTAGTAGCCGGTACCATGTGGGTTCCACTCTGATCGTGGCATGGCAAATGCCTCGTCGTATACAAGGCGGTTATCGTAGCCGTCGATCATGGGGTCGATTCTTAGCGAGAAGATGTGCTGATGATGCGGCGCAAGTGTGCCGGGATGAACGACCGTGCCGAAGGGTACCTCAACACCTTCATCAATGGGCTGCGTCGACAATATGCCGGTGGCCCTGATTTCATATTCCAGCTCTCCTGCCTGGTTGAAGATGAAAGCCAGAATGTATTCGTAGTTGCTCACGGTGATGATGCTTTGAAGGACCAGTTCCCGGCTGCGCGCGACTACTGCGCGGCCCGTGCGGTAGTTGGTGTGCTTGAACCCGATGCCAGCATCCTGCTCGTGGATGCATACAACGTTGGGCATATCCAGTACTCCACCCTTATCGTCGGATAGCACAGAGCTAAGATAGTAGATGGAGCCCAGGCAGTCGCATCCCAATTTGAGATTGTTCGCCATGATACCGGCACCAGCATCGCCCAAGTCGAAGGCGCTTTTCTTGAAGTATGGATGACGCGGGTCCGCATACGGAATGTTCATATCGCTCAAGCTCAGTCGGTAGAATAGATTACGGTTGTCGTATCTGACATCGTACAACACCATACCCTCACGTTGGTTGAAACCGACCCGGAAAGTCCACTTTTGCCATGAGATAACGTTCGATGTACCCTGTTGTTGAACTTGGAAGCTGGCACCTTCCGGCTGAACTACGTTCAATGGCTTAAGATCGGTTCGTAGCTTTTGTGCCTCGGGTATGTATTCGTTGGGAGGCTGGATCTTGTACTTTCCAACCGGTTTGATAGTGTTGTCGGCGCCAGTCGGTAGTATATCGACACGGATGACCTTCATGGTCGCGGTGCTTACAACTGGAGAAATTGGCAGTGGCATGGCGTAGTGGTTTGAGTCGGCTTCTGAGGGGTTCATTGGGTCCCTGAGGTACAGGAAGCACTGGTATAGCCTTTCTTCGTCTCCAATGCCATCTGATCCATAGATCCATGGGTCGCTGATGACTACTGTACCTTTGGGAAGTTCAAGCTTGGCAATTTCTGCTTTCACCTTTTCGTCTTCGAGAGCAACTTTTTCGATAGCTATGATTTCTTCACCATCTCCGTTTGCATGTATGAAAGGTCCCAGAAGAACATTGCGGTCCACGCGCCCAGAGGTCAGATCTACGATGGCCTCGTGGAATTTGTTCTGAGCGCATTAGCCGGATATCATTCCAAGCACTGCTGAATTTTGACGTACAGTGTTCCGAATGTAGTAGTTGATGAAAGCCTTGCGTGAGATAGCAGGCAATGGTTTGCCATTATGTTCTGCCTCCAGATACTTCAGCACCTCGGTCTTCGGTGGTTCTTGTAGCGTGATGGCTTTATAGTACAGTTCTGTGTGAGCTGGCCATGAAGCCTTGATGATCGCCGCCGCATTTTTTATCTCTGATGCCGACAGCGGGGCGAGAGGGTGCGAAGATGCAGACATTTGGTTCCGCGGCACTGGATTGGTTGCGATTGGTGTAGATATGGATATCACCGAGATGCGCAGAACGGAGCGTATTCTGTTCTGAAGGTTGACAAGCTTAAGAAGAGCAAAGCTTATCAGAAATCATTTATACTGCTACGATGCTGTGACGCCCCAGCGCTCCAACCTAATACAGCATTCTTTGTGATAAGAAGTGGATCTGGCATATCTTCGGATACGGATATTCGCATGGACCTACTGAGTTGGTGCTAGATATTTGGAGACGGTCCACAGGTCTGACGCGAAGTGGGACTATGTCACGTGAGCTACCCCGCTCTCCAGTGCGCTTGCGGCTGGGATACCAAGTGGGGTTCACGTGGCGAGCTGCCAACGCCTCCACGTGCTGTTCGTGTACATGCTCGCAATCTTCATCGACCAAAGGCTTTTCTACACGCGATGCGAAGATGATGATTGTACAACGACTGTCTGGTTTTCAGTAGCACCACTTTGTGTAGGTAAAAACTTACTTCACCATACTTTACAATCACAACTTGACAACAATGCAACTTACTTATTCTTAGGGTACCGCGCCAGTATCGAAAGCCTACCTGGATGGTAACGGGGGGTCGGATGATCCGCTCGCGCTCCTCAATCAACCGAAGCTACGTCTACGACAACATAGCAAAACGTAAAACATTCAAAAGCCTATCGCTTATCGATGACACCTGGGCGACCCACGATGTTTGACACTCATGGAGATTCGCGCGCTATGATGCTCCGCAACAGAATCGCCGTCCAATTCTGAGAAAAGTCGCGCATTTTGGCCGCATTAGTCAGCCTTTGCAGTTGTGATGAGCAGGTAGAAAGACCCGGATTCATTGCTATGTCGCATACACTGGTCCGAACTGATCATAGTGTTCGGTCAATCGACCATCGTCGCACTTCCGGGTTATCTAGGACATCCACCACCGTCATTCTGGAGCACGAGAGAGTCAACCAAGGACAACTGCCCAGTAGAACAATATGAAAAGGATGAAAGGAAGATGATGATGAGCATGAAACAATGGAGAATTTGTCAGGACACAGTGCAACGGTGAAGAGAGTCATATGTTTTGAGTCGTGGAGCCTCATGGGAATTGCAGGATCCTACAACTTTAAGTAATGAGCATCTTCGTGGGTACAATCAACACAGACTTTCACATCCCTTTGTACATGGTTGTTCGAGCGCATGACTCGGCCTGAAACACCCACTCCGCGGCGGCTCCTCAACCAGTGACCACCACCTTCTGGAACACTCGCGACAAGCCTCATGTTCTATTGTAGTACATGCGCAACCAAGGCTCTGGTGGATTTGACAATCGGTCCATCTTTCCTTTTTATCATCGATCGCTTAGACTTACGCCCTAGCTTGGCCCACGTCAATATAAACATATTACCGCCCATATTAATCAATTCTAAGCGTCCAGCGTTGTACTGATCCATCGTGCGGGCCAATCCAATCCTGCAACCCGGTAGATCCACAAACGACTCTCGCCTCCACCCTTCTCATTCGCTCGAGATTTTGCTTTGCTGCATGCAAGACCCAGAGCCGACAGTAGTGGACGGCAGACACTTCCTATGCGATATTACCTGCCATACCATCGCACATAGCCTTGCTTGCTTTGTCATAAGGCGACGCCTCTAGGAGGAGATTTAATGAACAGCCACCGGAAACAAGTATGCACAGTCTGCATATCGACTCATGATCCGGGTTCGTTGCAGACACACTGTACCCCGGAGTACCAGTCCTGTGACGCTTCTTCATTTCGAGTTTCACACTTGACCCAATCACGACTGGGCGTCTACCCAAACGTGGAAATCAGGACGGAGCACTATAGAACTGAATGCTCTAGTGCGGGATGTCAAGAACGACGCAATATGGAATTGGGAGCCGCCTGAGTCCTTGGTTCCTTGTAGAGGAATATATAAGGTCAAGAGGAGATTCTCTGGTAACCTCACAACACTCATCGGCTTCTCTCATTATCATCTGCCAACTACAATCAGTCTCTCATTCAACAATCTACAGACATGAAGTGCTTTGCCGTTGCCACCGTTGCTCTCGCGGCTCTCACCGAGGTCGCCTCAGCTCATTGTAGGCTCCACCTCCAAAAGAAATCCAAAAATTGCGATGAAAATGCTGACATACTCAAGATATCTTCCAGTACCTTACTGCCAACGGTGCTAAGGGTGGTCTGTTCCAGAACATTAGGCCTGTCCCAAACAACAGCCCCGTTACAAGCCTCTCTAGCAACGACCTCCGCTGCAATGTAGGCGGAGGCAGCGGCAGCAGTACCACCACAGTATCAGTAGCTGCTGGATCTTCCGTCTCTTTCACGGCAGACCAGGCGGTATATCATCAGTCGGTTCCCCCTCTCATTGTTCCTGTTGTCGTAGAAACCTGATACTGTTCGCGCACGGGCCACAATAGCGCAAAATCGAGGGCAGCCGGGCGTCAGGTTTCCTATGATATCCTCCGTGCTATTAAGATGTAGAGCTGATACTAACATCATCTTTCTTCGTTTAGGGGACCCACATCCTTCTACATGACCAAGGTCAATTCCGCAGCTTCCGCAGACGGTTCAAGCGACTGGTTCAAGATCAAGGAGATTGGACCTACTTTCTCCGGAGGCCAGGCCACCTGGGATCTTTCGAGTAAGTCGAGCACTTGGATTCGATCTGAATTATCACTAACATGATCACAGCCACCTACTCCGCCACCATCCCTTCCCAGCTCCCCGCTGGAGAGTACCTCCTCCGCATCGAGCAGCTCGCTATCCACAATCCTGGGTCGACACCACAGTTCTACATCTCGTGCGCACAGGTCAAGGTCACTGGCAGTGGCTCTGGCAAGCCCTCGCAGGTCGTAAAAATTCCCGGGCATATCAAGGCCACCGACCCCGGCTACACTGCCAACATCTACAGCAACTTCAACAGCTACACTGTGCCAGGACCCAAGGTCGCCACCTACTAGGTGCGCTTTGAGCTCAAGTATAGTGGTTGACAAGAACCTCCCGAGGTCAGTGTCGACACTGAGCTCCTTGTCAACCGCAGCTTGTTGGACTGCGAAGCCTGTGGCTTTGTTTCACTTCGATGTATATAGATCATTCCCCTTCAGATCATTGAGCTGAATTACATACCATTTTCATATCCTACTATGAGCTTTTTCGTCCTCTCACTTTTTTGCTTTGATCTGCTCTCGTTGTGACCTGAGGCAGCAGATACACTCGCTTGTGAATTTCCACCAGTCAAACGACTCAGTCGCATCCAACCATCCATTACTGCATTTTTCACCACTTTTTTCCGCTCACTTCGTCCACTCGCTACCTCACTGTTTGTTGATACCGACAGCAGTTCTTCACCATGCGCACAGTCGTGAAGCTCTGTTAGGTGACGATATCAAAATCGTTCCCTATCATCGTTTGGTAGGTATCGTCTGGGAGCGGTGATTTTGGGGGTCGTGTGAGTCGTTGGGAAGTAAGGTATCTTCTCCTTCTGATGATCGCTGCTGCTTCATCCACAACATTCACCATCATGGAGCCCAGCGAGGTTATCCCAACGCTTAGCGGTCCAGCGCTAGCAAACGGCATAGCCATTCGTCCTTTCACAGACTCATACGCGCTCCCTCGACTGATTGAACGCTTGAAACACGCGTGCCTTAAGCCCACGGCCGGCGTCAAAGAAGAACGACTGCAACTCATCGAGTGCGCAGTCGTGAATACCCACCGAAACTTTGATGACAAGTCAACGATCAAGCACTGTTTGCGCAAAAACGATACATGCAGCGGTGGTTGACGTGTTCACTTGTCAAACATGTCGCTTGTTCATCACGCCCATCTTCACGGATCATCTCGTTGTCCATCGCCATCCTCAGCAGCGGCTCACACATATAAATGGCTGCCCCAGCACCCCCTCTGCTAATAATTATCTTACACACATCTTCCATTCTCACTGCATCCGGCTATCAAGACAACTTTCCATAGCCTCTACTTCCCCCCAGTGCCTCTCTACCAGTCTACCTACCCCTATCTTTTCAACCCCCCCCTTCCTTTTCCCTCTCCCCTCTCCCCTCTCTCCCTTCCTAAATTCACCCCCCTCCCCCGCTCCAATGGCTGCCGGTCCTCCCCTAGGCAACCCCTGGAACGTCAATGTCGGGAACAATCCCAACATCAACCGCGAGCCCCCTCCTCCCCCCATCGGTGCTCCCGCTCCTCAAGTAGCACCTCCCGCCGCCGCAGCTGCCGGCGGCGCTCAAGTAATCGTCGAGCAGCAGCAAGCCCCGATTTACGGGCCTCCCCTTCAAATCGGCATCGGTGGACCCGGCTTCGGTGTTGCCCCGGGCATGGGATTAGGTGTGTTCCCACCCTTCCCCCAGCACCCCATCGGCATGATGGACCCTTTTCTGTTTCCCGGCTTCGTCGGCGCAGGTCCCGGGGGTGGTCCTTTGGCTCCGATCCGCGCTGGCAGTTTTCTACCAGGAGCTCACGCTGGGATAGGGTTCGGTATACACAACGCCGGGATTCCCTTCCCACCGCCGCCGCCGGGCGCTATCGCGGGTATCGTGCCGCCATTTGCTCCTGCGGCGCCGCTATGGGCTGGTGGTGGTTTGGCATTTGGAAATGTGCCTGCTGTTGGGGGTGTGGGTGTTGGTATGGGTGTTGTGCCCGGGATGATGGGGGGTGTGGGTATGGGAGGTATGGGTATGATGGGTTTTGGAGGTGAACACCAACACTTCCGCCCTGCTCCCATGTTCCACGATGGCAACCGTGGGTACCCAGCCCAGCCCGCTCAAGAAGATGTGGGTCAGATTCCTGGGGGCATACCGCCTGGAGTCATGCTCTGCGAGTCTGCCGAGCACACCATCTTCATCCGCATCACGGGCAATATCTGTCCGTGGTTGTCTCCTGGTACGACGCTCGCGTTTGAGCCTCTTGCTGCCGGGAGTGCTACCGGTCTGAATCGAGTGATTCAGATCTGTAATGACGGTGTTTCTGAGGATGAGTTGGAAAATTGCGCGGTGACGGAGTGCATTGAGTTGGGGAGCGGGCTCTGGGAGAAGGGGCAGACATTTAAGTATAACGATGCGGTTTCTAGGGTGCTGACAATGAAGGATGCTGGGTGGGATAATACGAGGAACAGGAGTGGTGGAAACACGCTCCATCTCTGGGGGCATAGGGTTTAGATGGGGTATTTGGGCGTTTGGGTGTTTGGCTGTATGATAGTGTGACTTCCGACAGTCCGGTCTCACTTACGTTTTCCTTTTTCTCTTTTCGTGTTTGTTGGATACATGTACTTTTTTATTTTGCTTTCTATCTTGAATTCCTGGTCTTTGGTACCCGACAGTTAGGTCCAGCCTTGCGTGTATCTCTCTCACTAGTCAGGATGTAGAATACATGCACAGTTCTAGTCTTATATCTCTTACCTGGGAACCATGGTGTTTGGCAACCAGATATCTTAACCTCAACACGAAAAAATATACAAACAACCCAAAAAAAGAAGAGCATTTGTCTACTACCTTCGGGCTCGGGCTTATAGCCCGACATGCGGGCGAGCGAGGCAGCACAGGAGTACCTATCTATCAGTTCATATCACGGTGCATCAATTCATTCGTTTCATGATCTTTGATGAAGCTGTCAAAGCCCATGAAGCAAGCGAACTGCATTTGGATGTTGCCTCTCTCCGCTTCGCGCGGACTGTATTGATACCCTGTTTTGAAAGATAGCATACGTGTTGCAATTCATCAAATTGGACGCAGGGGAATGTTGTTTGGTGTTGGGCCCACGCCGTGAACAACAAACTTGACCCGACTGACAAGCAAACCGCATCCATTCACATACAGAGACTTACTCGTCAACTCATCCATTCACCACACCCACCAGCTCACCTACTAACCCCCTATGCGCGCAAAATACTCAACGATTTACCTGCCAGCCTTTCTTGCATACGAACTGTATCTACTAACTCACCTGCTAACCCTCTTATACGTAAACCTATCTACTAGCTCATCTGCTATATCTGCGAATCTAATACTGGATCTATTCATATGTCGCATTTATTCAAATATCTGCTGATATATAAGCCTGCTTGCTGATCTCCCTATTGACTTATCTACTAGTATCTCTATCAGTACATCCATCAACATAACCACTACCAATACTATACCAACCATGTCTTCATATGTCCCCACCGACAACCCCCAGCCTTTGGCTTTTCGGCTTCCCACCCAAGCCCACATTAAAGCCTATCGAGCGCATGGGCCGCCTCCAAGCGGTTATTATATGAGACGCCTCCCGGGGAGACAGGGAATGTTCTATAACGCGGACGAGTCTGTCACCACCAACCAGGGTGGTATGAGCGACCTCCACCCATGCTCACATACTCGCATGAACGCCAATCCGGACCAAAAGTTCAACCCTGAGCCGAGCTTCCCTTGTGTACGCGCAACTGGGTTCTTCCATCCACCGTGGACTTATGAAGCGGGGCAAGTCCGATGGAATTACCATAAAAATGGCTGGGCACCGGCACTGGCGGAGGCTCTGGTCAGCAAGGGTATCAAGACAACAGCAGCCAAGCGCGAACAGATATACGAGGGTTTGAAGGATAGTAGTATCTACAAACACGAATCATCATACGTTCTTCATCAGCCCGCCGATAGGGACACAGCGATCTTTCAAAATGAGTGGGCTGCATCTATGGTAGCTAGATGGGGTCTTGAGAGGCCCTTCAGCATGATTACCGTGTGTCCCCTTGTCCGTGCGGATGGCATCGGTTGGGGTCGCATTTACGATACGCATAATCGACCACCGGTCTATACGCGATGGTCTACTGGCGAACAAGGTACTTGCGAACCCCCTGATATTAGGGTGTCTACCTCGGCATGAGACCACGAAGGGTCGAGAATCATACCTCAAAATCGCAGATTGGTATAGCTTGGAAACGACATCACAGAATCCAACCTTTCGCCGAATGTGGGATGATCTATGGAAAACGTAAGTTACCACTTTCTCTATCATACGCCAAGATAATACAGTAGCTTACATACTTTATAGTTACGGTACGGACGAGATCGTCGAACTCATAAGAGGCTGTCAGTTCAGCCCAGGAGAGAAAGTCACATCGGTCTTTCTCTGGTGCCTTGTTCGACTTCATCGGAGAATTGCTCTGGGTAATCAGATTTCCGACGCGAACCTCGGGTCTTGGATCAAGCAATACGGAAATCATCTTTCGAGATGCGGCACACCCTACAATCCTGCAGGTCGCACGTTCGCCTTCGATCCAAGCAAACCATACAACGGTATGAGCTTCACATACAACACCTTGACCGCATGGCTCTTGAACCCGCGGTTTGGTGACGATCGGAGGAAGTCTCAGTTCGTGAAAGAATGGGACGATGAAAACAAAGATAAGGCGTGGTTTACTTTCCGAGAGCGGATGAAGGCAGCCTCGAAACCTTTTTTTTGAGCTCTATGTATACCATAGGAAAAGCGGGGGGGGGGGGGAGGGTCGTGGGTGCACAGGTAGGTAGGACTCTATGGGACGGGATGATATCCTCGTGGTCTTGTATCATACCTAGGTAGTTTCAGATAGCCCAATGAGAAGAACATAACATTGTGATTTCTCAATCATGGAATAATGACAACTAAGCATAAAAAACACATGGTGAATGGTGGTGGCGTCTGGACCAAGATCTTCTGGCTATGGTAGTCGTACACAGTATGGATGACATTGGCACAGGCTGACTCCTTAGCTTGAGCTCTTGGTATTTGGTTGGTATGGTAAATGTGTTTGACGTCCGACAGTTTGGTTTGGTTTTGTTTGTATCACCCTCTTGTGACGGTTGACGGATACATACACGGTTCTAGTTCGGTCTTTCTTACTATCGACTCGTGGTATGCGCCAGCCATCTCACATACAACCATAGAATTCTCATCTGGGCACTATCAAGTATTGTCATTTCACAAGAGCTCATGGGAAGTTGGAAGGGGACATCAAATCAAATGATCATATTCCTTGATTAGACAGGAAAACCCCTCCTACACCCATACCACACACCTAACCCCCAGCCACCACAGCCAAGCCCTCATAAATCTGTCTCCTGACCCTCAAAAAAGTAGCAGCATCATTATTCCTCGGATCCAAGTTTCCATACGCCCCACCATCAATCTCAATCTGGCCCGTCGCTGTCTTGCGTACGGCAACACTGCCATTGATAACTAGAATACCATCACCCCGATACTCCGCTTGCATTCCATTCGCCGTCATCAGGCGTCTCAAATCTGCAAGCCTGAGATCACCAACGTGAAACGGCTGAGCCACTGATCGTACCGCCGTAGCCATATTAGTAGGCACGACATCCAAAACAGGGGTGTTGTCGTTTTTATCGCTGGAGACGGGTATGGCCGGAGCGTCTAGTCTAGCCTTCTTTTTCGCGGGCGTGTCAGCCTCTTCCGTGGTGGTGGAGGAGGAGTGGGGTTCTAGTCTTGCGGCTGCAAGACGGCCGGTGATGGCTACAACGCCCATGCCACGGACGTTTTGCCAGCGGAGGTTGCGGACCATGTTGCGGCTGAGCTTGACGGTCCAGGCGTTTGTGTCGACGCTGGCGTCTACAAGGGTGCCGATGGTGGGTGTGAAGATGTCGATGGCGTTGGCCGAGTCGTTGTTTGCGTTGAGTGCTAGACGGCTGATTTCTGCCAGCTCGAGTGTTTCGCTGGCTTCGCCGCCGATGAAGATGAGCTTGCGTGGACGGATGAGTGGGATTAGTGATTGAATGGTGCGGCGGTCGTGGAGGCCGGAGAAGTCGACAAAAGCGATTCGGCACCGGATTTCCAGGGTTGAAGATTCGATGATGACTTTGGCTGGGCCTTCGACCTTGTCTGGGCCGTCTTCCGGTTCGCTGTCTGACTCACTCTCCTCGCCTTCTCCCCCTTCGTGGTCTTTTCGCCTTTTTTGGTTGGCAGTCGCCTTGGTGTTGTCGGCAGTGTTGACGAGGTCGTCCCATCTTCTCTTGAGACCGACGGCATTCTCCTTCTTAGTGCCATCACCACGAAGAGCCTCACCTGCTGCATTGTCCCGTTCCTCAGCGCGCGCAAAGTCTTCTGGGCGAATAAGATCACCAAAGTCATCTGTACGGCGCTTCTTCGCCTGGAATGGGAACATCCTCTCCTTGCCCTTCTTCCCCTGTACTTCGTAGTCGTAAACATTTTTGCGGCGAATGAGCACATTGACGCCCAGCTCTGCATCCGTCATACCAAGCTTATTGCGGGCATGTTGGAGGGCAACAGTTGCGTTCAAAGCTTTGCCTCGATATCCGTCCCCTGAACCCTCCGAACTCTCTGATTCGGTAGACGACCGGTCGTCAACAACATCCGCAGAGGTTTCAAGCATTGCTGCATTGTCACCGCCCATGGTAGTCTGCCGTTGCCTCTGACTTGCGAGAAATTGCTGGTAGAGTGGGACCTCATCACCTTGAAGGGCGACAGTTCGTACCGTGTCTAACGGAGCCTGGTTGCCAGACGCATCAATCACGGTAGTAGAAGGCGCGTCTTCTCCCGGCGATGCATTGCGCTGATTCCATAGATCCCAAAGATACCTGCCAAGTCCCTTCTTCTGAGAGCCCAGTTCGCCTGATCGCTCTGTAAGGATAACCAGGTTCTTCTCGTCAGATGCTAAGCTTCGGATAGCATCCTTTGAGAAACCCCACTCAAGTGTTGCGTCGCTTGCAAGGATCACACGCGGTCCAGCACCCGCAAGCATACGAGCTACTCGTGTCTTGCGCTCCAGAAGTGTTATGTGTCGGAAATCGAACGGGACCTTGGCTACTCGCTCCTCCTCTTGCCCTTCTTTGGTTCGTCGGTCCTGGTCGGCTGCACTGGCCTCGAACTCTTTCACGATGCCCTCCTCCATCCACTCCAACATACTTCGTACATATCGCATTGTCGCTCCTCCTGTCCGACTAGCAAGGTAAAGTTTTGTGGTACTCAGTGGACCGCTACCATCCCCTTCAGTTACTTCGCGCTCCCAAGTATCTTCGAGAAGGTATGCCAATTCCAAGATACGGGCACTTGAGTCCGAAGGAATCAAAACAGTTCCTCCATTGCTGATCGTATTTCGTATCATCTCAAGAAGAGCCTCGTCTCGCTCGTTGGGCGACCTAGCTTTCTTGACCATACCTGTGTTTTTAGTACTGCAGATCAAGGCAGTTGGGTGGCGCAACTGTTCCAGAACCTCCGAGCCACCGGTACCAGGACCTCCAAGCCAAGCAGCACCAGAAAGGACATGCTCTCTAGCTTGGTTCCAGTCGACGGCGTAGACGACCGACTCCATGCCATGTTGTATATGCCATATTGAGCCCCCCAATGTATGTCCAGCACTGTATGCAGTAATGGTAAGGCCGTTGAGAGGAGGCGAGTGTGGCGATGGAATAGGCTCGTGTGGTTGTGAGTACCGCAGAGGGTTTATACGGGCGAAGTAGTCGGCGATCTCTTGCGATGTCGGCGCCTGCAGAAGAATGTTTGGGTTATTCCCACCTTTGAGAGCTGAAGAGAATGAGTATGCAGACTCATTGAGAGCTTCAGTTGGTATTATCGAAGATGCAAGAGGCGTGGATTCGTAGAGGTCCTGTAGGAGCGTTCGGCCGAGCGATATGACGGGGTTTGTAGCGTATACGGGTATTCGCGTGAATAAAGGAAAGTTCTTGCAGCAGTGGACGTAGGCGCCGAGATGCGCAGTTGTTGCGTGGGTGAGCAGGATGAAGGAGATGGTGGGGACATGTCTGGAGGTGAGGATTAGTTGTATTCTACGTATAAAGTGCTTCTACGGAGGATCATGCATGCGCATGTAAAGCGAAGAGCCAATATTGTCCATGCCCAAACTAAGACCTACCTCTCAATCTCCTTTAGTTTCTCTACGTTGAACTGCTCATCCCACCCGACATCTATGAGGATCTGTATGCCACCATCGAACTCCAATAGTGACTGCGACGCGGGCGAGGAGCTCTGCGCGCCCAGAAGAGGTGTGAAGTTGAACATTGCGACAGTTGCTAGTTGTGGTGTAGGTGACTCTTACCCTCGGAGTGCATACTGATTACTTGGTGTTCATCTTCTTTGATGCTCAACATGCGGAAGCGTGACCTGACGCGTCAAAGCGCGACCTCGGCCGGAGAAAGGTTAGTCCGATACCTTCACTAACTCCCTAAAAGTCCACCGGAGCGCCGCACACAACAAAAGCCCGCAGTCCGAAAGTGATTAGAGAGATCATCGTCTCGCTTCACGGATCTTCTTTGTTCGGGCTTTTTGGTAATATAAAGTTAGTCGTAAAGTATCGCGGTGCTGCATCGGACATACGCAGCCGTCCAGCACGGAGAAGACAGCACATGTCGCGAAATCCACCACAGGCAGATTACTGACGTTGATTACTGGGATTGTGTGATGACAGCAACAATGCCATGTCTTCTCTTTACCTAGGTAGTCGATCATCCGCGCGTGCATCTGGTGGGAAAGCTAGAGCACGACGGCTTTCGCAATCCACGGACAACAACAGGGATCGACGGCCAACAACACAGCCGGTGGATTGCATGGTCCTCCCAGACGTGCCTATCACACGACGTTGTTCCAGGCAAAACCACCCTTGAACAGTTTCGTCGCATGCAGCAGTCGAGGGACAATGAGGTGTTGGCATCCAAGGCGGGTCGTCGGAACATGGCCGGCTGCACAAGTACCCAACCCGCTGCAAACATGTAGCACTCGCACAACGCATTCAACAAACCTCATCCCCGGCCGTGCAGCAGCACGCTCTGATATACCCAGTTCCCACTTGGTATTAACTAGTTCCTATTAACTAGTTGTTAGCAACTTGAGTAGTAGACACGACAACGACGTCATGACGGCTCTTAGGCCCGCCAGTGGTTCGCCCTGAGACAACGTTGCCAGATGCTAGCTTTGCAGCCAGCCCTGCGCCAGACGCCAGAAGTCTCTGGAGCAACGATAGCTCGTCGACTACTACCAATGCAGCCATTTGCAGCCATATGCAGCTCTCGTCTGCGTCGCCACAGCTGGCGAATGAGACACCTTGGCGATCCAAGGTGACCCCGCAGCTAAGACAAGCCCGCTAGTTGCTGCAAGTCATTCGTATCGTCCCCCTTCGGATGCATGTGGCCGTCCTTTTTCCTTACCCAGCTCTGCAAGAACAGTCTAATACGCGTCGGCCGTGCTCGTCGCCGCTATCAATACGCAGGGACACACGATTGTCTCCTTGGCCCAGCTTCATCTGATCATGCTGGGGACGGTCACAATACTTTGCGGTAGGGATGATACGTCATGCTACTCGTCACCCGCGCCCAAAACAACGACTTATTTCAAATTGGAAACGGCAAGATCGCGCTGCTGTGGGCCGCCAGGCTCCACAACGCGATGACACGGCGGAACCTAGACATGATACCGTATGCCGAATCATGCTGGGCAATTGGCCTTCTGGGCCTGATTCACGGATATGAATCGGTCCGGACGCTTCAAAAATTCCTCCCACCATCAACGAGGCATGGGATGATGCCCGAGTGTCCGTCGACTGCTAGAGGATGAGCCTAATCACACACACAATGCAAAAGGTTTGCGCAAGGAGAGTCGGGACGTGATCGCGCTCAGCTCAAGCTCAAGCTCTGTCAATGCTCTCGGCTGGGTCCGAGGTCAGGGTACTGCAGAAACCCGTATGGAGCCAGTGCTGAGAGCGTGCCATTTTGTGCCCGTCGCCGTCGTCCCGCTCCGGCCGCAAAGTAACCACAGATCTTCCAGCACGCAGGGAACGGGCATTGCATCGCGCCAGCTTGACAATCTTGAAAATGACAAAAGCATAAAAGTACAAAATCAAACGCTATGCCTGACGGACCTGCGTATCGGTAGAGGCAGGTACATGGTTCGCCAACCAGCCCGAAACAGTGGATAGTTTACTGACTGTACAGTCATGTTTCCCTGGCCTCGTGCTGACAGGCGTAGAAATTGCGGGGAGTGTGCATGCGAGCTTACAACAAACTTTGTCTGCCCGTTGCTCACTCAACCTACCAGGGCGGCTGACAAGGTGAGCATCGCCATGGCTCACCATCCCTGTCTTGTGTGGCTTTTGCTGGTCGGGTTCGCGGCATGTTATGATCGGCTTTTTCAGGTTGCCCTCAAGAACGCTCTAGAGCGGCCGCTATCGCGTCTGATTCGAGCGGACTGCAAGTGTGGAGAAGTAGTGTCGTCAGGTCACACACCCAAGACATAGCGGACATGTAGCACCATGTCCTGGGCGTCTGAAAGTGGGGCTGATTGTCGACTAGGGACGCCTCAAGTGTCGCATACTCACTAACCACTTGTGTGCGCGGCCGTGAATTGATGGCGTTTTCAAGCTTGTATGGTGACCATAAGCAGCAGATCGGGGAGGCCAAAAGCATGGCGAATCGTGTAGGCAAGACAGTTTGGGTGATGCTTGCAACAAGAGAGGCAAGAATACAGCCTTCAAGCACAGCCTGCAGCATTCCCCGCCGTAAAACCTGCATCACCACTACCAGCTTCGACGCTGCCATCGGGGCAGCCAACGAGAAGCACGGAGCGGCTAGCAGGCGTCCCAAGATATGAAGCCGCTCGAAAGCGATTCATGCACCATTCGACACACACACTAGCAACATCACGTTTCAATGCTCCATGAAGTTTACCATCTCCCGACCAACTAGCGCCCCCATCGGCTCCTGTTAATGAAGCCACTTGCAGCGCTCGCTACGTCTGAAGCTGTCGTCAACACTGTTCTCTGCATGCCCGGTGCTCGACAACCTCGTTCGGTCTACTCACTGGATTCAGTCGTCGGCGGCCCAGAATAATGGTTACAGCGGGACCAGTGGATTACTTCTAGGATTATCCTCCATTACCAGTATTAGAGGCGAATTGGTGCTGCTGCTGCAACGCTACTTTAACTCACTATATCCTCTCGCCTCTACCTGGCTCCGCAACCTTGCTGCGAAGCTACCCGGCCTGCACTTTAATACCTAGTCGATAAATCCCACCCGTTGGAGCAGATCCCTTCGCACACCTTTCATCGCCCTCTCCGCACCCCTAGGCTGCCCATCTCCTGCTTGGCCTTTTTTTGACATCGACATCCACTGGCTCTCTCTCCCACACTCACTGTCCACCATCAACACCCAGCACACCAAACAGGTCGTTTCGCCTATCCCTGCCTCCGCGGTGTCTGTGTTCAGCTCAGCCGTTCATCTCGGAACCACGCAGTTTTGCCGTTAGTTCGATCCGAATCTTATTGGACGTCCCGCAGCGCCCACGACTCGCTAACGACGCATTCCCCCGCTCTCACGCAACCTACCGTGCGATCACTCGAGCCATCAGGAGCGGACCGCTTGGACCCTTCTGCGACACGCTCGAAGACTTTCGCTGGAACGGCTTCCGCGTCGTCCCACATCTTGCACGTCCTGCTTAGCATTGACAGGCGGGAGTACAAGATAGCCCCTGCTTGCCACTTCCTGCATTAGACCGTGCCGAGCTCAGACACAGCCAAAGGAGCATACCTCTTTCGTACCACCATCAAGCGCTGAACACTCGAAACTTCGTTCAATGCGCGCCTCTCCCTTCCAATAGTCCTCCACAACAAAACACACTCTGGACCGAATGGTCTCGCCCGTTTCTTTCGGCCCTTCGCCGCCAGGCGCGCACACCCGCTTGAGCACAAGCTCATCGCCACAGCCCTCCATGTCGTCCGCTAGCGACTCCCCATTTACCACTCCCAACTTCGACTCCAGCATATTCAACCCCTCCGACACACAATCTGAAGAGCGGACAGAGAGACGGACGGCTTCGCTCGAGGTCGTGCCCAAGCTTGAAGAGACCGAACTTCAATTGGCCGATGTGAAAGAGGAGCCCTCCCCGGAAGATACGCCCATCTCCCCCACCGAACCCGTGCGGATACGTCGTGCCCGTGGCAGGCCCAGGATACACCCTCCTCGCTCGCCCACTACTCTTGCAAAGCAGGCCAAGGCGCGATCGAAAACGGGGTGCACGACATGTCGGAAACGGAAGAAGAAGTGTGACGAAACCAAGCCATTCTGTAATTCTGCCCCCCGTCTGTCCGCATCAAGTAAGAGCTAACGGTGATCAGGCTTGTCATGTCAAAAGAACAACATCCACTGCGAGGGTTACAAGCCCGTTGAGATATGGAAGAGTGGAAAGGAACGGGCCGCAGAAGGTGTGTGGTTCTGCTCCGCCAGTTTGCTTTTTTGTATGTGGGCCAAGCTAACAATCCAACAGCCCGGAAGCGAAGTCTCGACGTCAAGTTCGAGCTTCCGCCGCTCATGGAAGGCGTAGAGAACGACCTCGACCGTGACCTCCTTCAGCACTTTGTTAGCCGAGCCAGCGCCGTCCTCAGCTTACACGGCGACAAAGCAACCAACCCATTTACCAAGATTTTGCTACCCATGGCACTCCAGCACGAAGGTCTAATGCATTCAGTACTGTGCCTGTCAGCTTCGCACATGTATTCTGTCAGCCCCTCACAGGAATACGAGGACAGACAGGCCTTCCACCGAGGCAAAGCACTACAGCTTCTCAAGCACGATCTCGAGCGACAAAAGGCCGGCGAGGGAGGTGTAATGGTCTATGAGGACTCTAACGTGGCTCAGATACTACTGCATCTTCTGCATTCAATATGCGACGGCAACACTTCGGGCGAGTATCGTATGCACATGATCGCCGCAAAGCAGATCGCGATGAACCAAAAGTCATCCAATCCAGAGTTCCAGACCCTCTTTGACGAATTTTTCTACTACCACTGGATAGCAAGTCAGATCACTTCCCTGGATGGCACAGAGGTTCCCATGATGGATGACTTCAACCTTCCTTTTAAGATCAGCCCGGAGACGGCCGGACTAATCGGCATATCGGACGGCCTCTTTGGTTTCATCTCGAAGATCAGCAACCTGCGACGCAAGATACGCTCTCGTATTGATGAAAAGCAGGAACCGATCATGGACTACGAGGCCTTGCTTTCTGCTCATGCCATCGACACTGGTCTTCGCGGATGGGTATGCCCTCACACACCTGGATCCCCTCTATACACAATCTCGATGCTCTACCGCCAAGCGACGTGGGTCTACCTTTACCGAACGACCAAGGACTCGAAGCCCCACCCTTTCATCAAGAGTGCAGTCGATGACGGCATTCGATACATCAACGAATTACCCGCAGAAGGCTGGGTGCAAAGTAACGTTTTACTACCCTTGTTTCTTATTGGGTGCGCCGCATTTGAGGAAGAGCAGCGCGTCGAGATCAATCGCGCATTCAGCGGTCTCATTGCCTGCACCGGTCTAGGCAACATCGGCTTCGCAAAAGAGGTGGTTGACGAAGTATGGGTCAAGATGAATAACAACGACCCCGACTCGTGGGATTGGGAAAAAATTATCAATGCGCGTGGATGGGACTTCCTGGCCACATGATGTAATGGTCTCACCTTCTCGGATATCTTTCCATTACTCAGTCAGAACGATGGCGAAATACCTTCGCGTTTGGGCCTGAGTATGGGGCGCCCTGTCATCACGTCGGACGCCGCCGAGCACATCAGGGTCGGGGTAGGGGTCGCGGCAAAGAGGGTCTTGTCTTGGGTGCACAGCTCTTATGACGAGTACAAACTGTCGGCAAGAGGCTGAAAGTGCGCAACGCACCACTTCGGCATTACACTCGGCATTAAGGCTACTTATTCAAACAGTGTTATAACGGGCGCAAAAAGGAGTCATGAATCTTTGGTGGGTCGGCGGATGGATCTAAGGCTCGGACCGGCAACGACGCACTACGGCCTTATGATCAGGCTACAATATTTCGGTTGGGGAGCTTTCCCCTATAACACAGTTATTGTGTTGGGTTAGGATTATGGGAAGTTATGGTTACTGGAAAAGGGTGCTATTCATCTCTGGCTTGTTCTTCACTTTAGTGTTTTTGTTTACTAGGGCTTGTATATTTTTTTTCGTCTCATGTTGTCATTGCAGGTGGTTTATTCTTGCAATGGGCTGGCAAGCAACTGGGCTTTTCTGGGGACACAATGCGCGTCGGTGCAAGGTTACGCATCTCAACCCTGCATCTACGAGGGTGATGGGTGAGGCATAATCGTCGTACACATGGCCTCCCAGCACTTGTTGAATTAGGACCGACTGCGGGCAGGCATAGTTTTTCTTTCGGCTGCGATGACGACACGTATGTATGCATAGCAGGGGGGAGGGTTCACGGCGGCGCGGGAAATGCAAGCCTGAAGGCATGTCCGTCTCCACTCTTGTTCACTTAATTCTGAACGGCTCCGCAATTGCACGCAATCAACCACGATAGGTAACAGTACTGGGACAGTACCTCGGTCTGATAGCGGCTGAGGCACAGTTTACGCTTACTGTTTACTGTTGTTTATTATACGAACCCCCGTTACGCACTGTGCCACACGACAGCGTCTAGACTCTGTACGACAAGTATTGTTCCTCCAATCCGATCAAAAGCGGCGTGCGTGTTCGCGTGGAAATGCAGCTCTGTCCCGCTTGCCGTAAAGCAAGGAAACATGTTTTTAAATTTGGTTGTTCTCGCAGATAGCAACAACCGTGGGCAAGGACGAACACGGCGTCTTACAGCAAAACAGACAACAACAAAAACATGCAGCCACCGCTCAAACAAGCAGCGTGCATTTACCCGGCTCGACTGTCCCGGCGATCAAGGCTCCTGCCCTCCAGTCAATCAATCCCGTTGAGCGACGCCGCAGGAAAGTCGGGGCGGAAATGTCCCAGTCCCTTTCTTCCCAACGTCTTGCGCACGTTTTACTCTTAGCCACGAGCGTCTTTTTGTTGGTCGTTTGTTCTCGCTCACTCGAATCAGAAATGCACCGCACGCGAGAAAGAGGCCGCACAAGGGCGCACAAGGCAGATCTGCCCAGGGAACTAGGGTCCATCATCGGCATTGGCGTGGGATGTTGTGACGATTGTGTTGCTGCGCGTTCCAACCACAACACACGACTCAGTGCAGGCGGAGCAGAGCAGGGGGGTAAGGCGCAAAAGCTGCAAGGGAGGGGGCATGCGAGCGAACGAACCAACGACAACATGGGGCGCCGCTTTTCTTGTGGTTGCGGGTAACCTTGTCCGTCGCATCCGATTGCGTCCGGTATACTTTCCCTGGACAGAAGAGCGAGATGACGAAGCCGGCTGTGTGTGTCCCGGGTGCCCGAATCGCACCTCTCCCCCGCTATGCGATGATACGTGAAAGAGCAGATTGGCAACGGGCGTTTAAGTCGGGCCTTTTGCGCGTATGTGATCATCTTTGCTTTGCATGTGTCTGTGATATGTGTGTATGTCGGCCGTTTTTTCTACCCCCCACGCGTGTTACTTGAAAGGGAGGATATGGGATTTATGACAGAGGGGGTTCGGTCTTGATCCGGTGGGTATGGGCATTTTGTTCAGTTGTTGTTTGGCTTTGCTATTCAGGGAACATTTCTTAATCTTACACATCAAAGGATCCTTTCCTTTAGCGACTCGGGTTAAGCGATTCATCGCTCCCGATACTTCATTCTTATCTTTTATTTGCTTTTGCCGACCGTTCAGGTACCTGGCACTAAAAGATCTCCAAACGTTGTGTAACTATTGGACCCCCTTCCTTCTTTCCCCTAGAAAAAAAAATTAATCCTTGTTGTTATCATCTTCGCAACATTCACTATGTCCCCGGGTATCGAGCGCCACGACCATCTCGGAGACTTTTTTTCTTGTTAAAGATTTTTCGAGGGGCCTGTGATGTGACAGACCCTACCTGTGTCACACATAACAAGCATTTCCTTTTATGAAAAGGAAAAAGAAATCTCGATCCGTTAATGAACCTTGCACATACCCTGTAGCCGTTGTGACATAACACAGCATGCAATATAGGTAAGTAGACAAGACCCATGCTGCGCATCGAATATCACCCAGGAAAGGAAAGTAGAATCAGGGAAAATTAGTCGCGCGAGAGTTGACGTTAAGCCATCTGTGGTGATTCCGGCGACCACGAACGAGAGATGATGCCGAACGACGAACGACGTCAAGATATTGTGAAAGCATCACCGCAAGGCGAATACAAAAAATCATTTAATGCCCCGACGCGTGACCCAGTTTTCCCAGTTCCGTCCCCCACAACGCAGCGCCGTCTTAATATTCCTTCCCCCAATCTCGATTTCCCCCGGACCAAGCCTCCCGATGCGGTATCATGCCATCACGTTCTCTCACATGGGCAGTCGTAACGAGAGCACGCCTTGCCGATGTGAACAAGATTAAAAAAAGAATCGTGTATTACTGATCAATCTCGGCCGCTCCAAAGGGTCAAAATCTTCTTATTCCCGCTTGGCAAGCCACAAACTAACCTATCAACGTTACACACAGACCCCTGTCCCCTTGATTTCAGAAAAAAGAGCGATACACCTTCCTCACACTTCTCAGCCCCACGAATCGCGTATTATTGCCCGTGGCGGGGACTGCGTGCTCGATACGGGGGTGGGTATGCCGCAATCTAAGCCTGGAGATACCCAAGGTTGAGGGCGAGACGGGAGATGCTTTGGTGGCGCGGGGGCTGGATGAGGCTATTTGTGTGCGCCGATGGTGAGGGACATACGGTATACCACGGGATAAGATCTATGGTGCAGACGTTGCAAAGCAGCGCAGAGTCGAGACCTCTGAGCCCGCGATCATGGACTGGGGGCTCGGACGCACGGTGCCTGCATACATGCATACGTGCATGAAGAGCATGAATAGGTAGGTACGGCAGGCCAGGTCTTTTCGTCACGATCTTGCTGCGGGCGTTGTGATGCTGTGAGCAGGATGCACGATAGGGTTTTGTGACAGGGCTAGCATATTGGCATTTCGGTTTTAAGCAAAGGCGAGTAGTTGAGAAATGAATAAAGGTAGTAGATGGCGTAAGCGCAGGATGAGAAAATGGCCATGGAAAGGGTCCCATTGGCTCGTGAAGTTTGGATATGGATTATTGAAAAATGTGTCTCACATCGGTGTAAGCAGGGCTGCTGGGTGAAAAAGGGTTGCCACAAAACTCACACATCCAGACCGCGAGGCAACCCATGGACAGGGCAACGCGTGGCCATATCTACGTACGCAAGCCTCGATTGCTTGCGTCTTGCGTCTTGCCATGGCCATCTAGGTGGTCGGTGTGGGAAAACGTGATTGATTCTCCATGCGAACTAGATGCGAGCGATTATGGTTCTGCTTGTGGTTGGCTGTAGGCCAGGGTCTGGAGGGCATATTGGGGCGCACCTGCAGCTGACAGGTGGATGACACAACATGTGGTGATCAAGCTATCAATTACCCATGGAAGACAACGATGAATGGTCGGCTGTCAGCATTCCATGCATTAGGCAGTCGCGTGGCTTTCGGTTGGGGTCTCCGTACGCGATGCTTGGCCGTTGTTCAACGGTGAAAAGAGGGTGTAGGGCTGACACAATCCTCCAGCTCAGGTGACACTTGTTCAGACGCGCCTTCGTTGACCGGCGTGCTTGGCTGCAAGCGAGCGAGGCTGGCGGAACGCATGGTGTGGATAAGTTTGTCGCGGACAATTAACTGCAATCGCGTAAGATATCGTACATTACCTGTCGGCCGTGCAAAACCCACGTATAGGATGATACCCGGGCCTGAGAATCCAAGAATCGCCAAACCCCGATCATGACATGGGTGCGAGATATCTGACCGGCAAAGATTGAGAAAAAGCAGGAGCCGCAAAACAGGAACTGTGCGACCATCACCAGCCCCACTGCCACAACCCCCCCCCCAAGGCGGAGACATTACCCCTTGAGAATTATACACATCAAACTATGCTTTCAAGTCTCGTCTGTATTGCAATCGTAAAGTGGAGGCGGAGAGAGGGGGGTCAGAAATCGCATTGACAGGCTGGAAATCGGACCCGCAAGACCCCTCTCAATCATCCACACCCAAAACTCGGGGTCTCCTTCTTGCGCAAAGGCCAGCAGCCGAAACGATATTGATCCTTCCCCAAGATACCGGTGTGCCTGGCCCTATACCTGGTTGGCATAAAATCTACTATCGGTCATGCACGGCCAAGGCAGCGCAGATGCGGCTGGTACTTGTGGCTTTTGAGACAGCATGGCATTTCAACATGCACATGTTTAGCCTACCATGGGAACTTAATCTTTTTTTCTCTTCTAGAACCGTTTCCGTTCGGCTCCTGGTGCCGTGGCGAATTGGGCCAACGAGGTGGGATGAATGTCACCTCTGCAGCGGTACATCATCCCGCGTGGTTTGTCCCTCCCTTCCACCCGCAAATACGAACGTCGCGGGATTAGGAAACTGGGGACACGTCGACCAGGTACTCTTCGGCCCTTTTATTATGTCGTGTCGTCAACCAAGAGGGACGCAAAATCGGGAAATTTCCCCGGCTGCGAATCATCGACCTGGTGGGACCTGGGTTGTCAATGTGAAAATACTGGACTCTATTATGTCCGTTGCTATCACCTTGACTGGAGAGCGGAATGAATCTCCCACCCAATGAGATGAAATGTCACGGAGAAAAGGGTGAAATGGGGCACGCCTTGACTTTTGAAATGCAGGGGGATGGGGATAGGCCAAGCCAGACGAGGCCGCCAGTCAGCCAGCCGTTTATCGATCAAAAACCAAAGAAATCTGCCGAGGCTGTTTGGCGTGAGGTGGATTGTGGATATTACCACCCATCAAGGCAAGAGAAAACCTTGTTGGAATCCTCCCGCTGCCGCCATGGTTTCCCTTAACGAATGACGGCAAACCATGTTGCGCCCCACTGTTGTCGTTCCAGGAAGGGCCACAAGATCTCGGAAGCCATGTGGGGGGGCCCGGATGTCGTTGGTGCATGATCGAAAGCTTAAGTGGGATGGCTTGCGTGTTCGTGCGTTCCGAGAAATACTCGTAGGGAAGGCCTGGCCCAGAGAATGGTACGGGAGTGTCTTATGAAAGATGGGGGGCCCGCTAGTTGAACTGGCTGGTGGGCTGTGTTCGCTTGCATCCATGCGGCGCATGCGCTAGTGATGCAACATGATGGAGGCGCATGCGCGCTTGTGGATGAAGCTACTCTCCTGCTGCTGGAATTACCTACATTTTTCGGGAGAAACTTGATAGATGCCTGCTTCGAGTCTCCAGTGTAAAATTTGCTTGCGGGTACTTAGACGCCCTTATCATGTCGCACATGTCCTTCTTGCTGCTCGAGCAGACTTCGGATACTCCCCTTCCCGATGCAAGTTTGCGGCACGGTATCGCTCCACTCATTCATTGCGTTGCTTCATCGATGGGTACCGTAGGTACAGTAGCACCCGGGTGTCGTAAGATACTAAACATACTAGTGTAAAAAGGCCACTGTAGTCGCCAGGCATGCCTACTAGGCGCTTACCAACACTGTCAAGTATGTTATGACACCCAGGTGGTAGTGTCAGGCTTTGTTCACCGGATTACTAATGCATCACCAATGCCTAGCTTTTGACACATTGGACCCTTTGTCTTCACCTTCTCTTGTCGTTTCGGTCCCTTCCGGACTTCATGAATCGTTCAATCCGGGGTTGATACAACTAAAGCCTCAGAAACAGTGCGCCATGGGAAAAAGAGTCTGGTCTGCTGCACAGGATATTGCGCAGGAGTGCGCGCTATCCCGAATGGGCAGAACGTACATGGTGTGGCTGGAACGTGCTTCCTGTTCCACTGCCAGAAAGTTTGGATTTTCAACGGCATTCAACGGTTTAATTGAGTTGAAGCCACTACAAGGCTGCTAAAGTAAACTGCGTAGTATCATGTGAACTGCAGTTTCATTAGAGTCCAGACGTCTTTCTGATCTTTTGTTGGGATGCCAGTGTCTACACCAACTTGAGACTTGCACGATTCGGGCACCTGGCCAAGCCCCACATGCACTTCGGTTCGCAACCGAGGCAAGCAGTTACTGGGTTGCAGTCCGTGTCGTCCATAGAGCTAATATAACCATAGCCTAATAGCAGATTGACACTCGAGATCAGTAAAAGAAAGCTACCATATTCTTTTTGTCTCTAAAACCGCTGAAATCATAAACTTTAAAAGATGAAAAGATAAGCAATGTACATGTTCGATAGTCCAACAAAGACTAGGTCACCCTGTATAGTGATTGCTTGTTTTAAACATCGACATATTAGTACTAGCCGAATATCCTGCGGTGGCGGGTGAAAGGATCTAGGCGCGTTCAGCTGGTGGGTAACTTTCCGTCTCTTACTGCTTCGCGCTTTCCTTGTTGATTATGTGCTGTTAAGGTTGAAGCTGCAGACGCTCACCATGGGGCCGCTAGCAAAGAGTGAGACGGATGTAAAAGACCCGAGTAAGAATGAGGAATTGCAAGTGGAGGCGTCGCCCAACCCGGAACCTAGAGAAGAGGAGGCGACACGTGCAGCGCCACTCCACCGCGGCTCCACGAACATATCAACAAACGACGATCACGGCCTTTCCCTACGCGAAGTAGACCCTGTGGCTGTCCGACTCGAACATCTCTCAGTATCTGTTGATGAATCGCCAAATGCGCTATCGCGGATATTCTCAAAGCAAAAAACGCCACCCAGCCACAGCCATGTCAAAACTATACTCAATGACATATGTGCAGATATGCCAGCCGGGAGTCTTACCGCCATCATAGGAGGAAGTGGCAGTGGGAAAACATCCTTGCTGAATTCTATGAGCGGTCGCATCCAAAGCAACAATCGGCTCATCACATCGGGTCGGACATTGTTCAATGGAAGCGAAGATGGATCACAAGTGCGAACCGCGTATGTTATACAACAGGATATCCTGTTGCACACTCTCACTGTTAGAGAAACTTTGACATATGCTGCGCAACTCCGACTTCCATCAACTGTCAGCGCGAAGGAGAAGAAGCAGTTGGTTGAAGACGTCATCTTGGAATTGGGGTTGAAAGAGGCAGCAGACACGAGGATCGGAAACAACGAGCATAAAGGGTGTTCTGGAGGAGAGAAGCGGAGAACGAGTATTGGCGTCCAATTGCTGTCGAACCCTTCTCTCCTTTGGCTGGACGAACCAACTAGTGGTCTGGACTCTACGAGTGCCTTCCAGGTGGTTAAAACATTGCAAACCCTAGCTAGGCAAGGGAGAACAATCATAGTCACAATTCACCAGCCACGCTCGGAGATTTGGGACCTTTTTGACAATGTCATTCTCCTATCGAGAGGAAAGCCCGCGTATGCCGGTAACGCGAAAGAGTGCCTGCCATACTTCGCAAAACTCGGGCATGAGATGCCGCCCTTCACAAATCCAGCAGAGTACTTAATCGACGTCGTCAGTGTCGACAATCGGAGTGCGGAGGCAGAAATGGCTGCTCAACAACGCGTCGGTCGGGTGATCGAAGCTTGGAGAGCAAATCCCCAAAGCGGCTTCAATGAGAAGGATGGTTCAAGGGCTCCGAGTACCGCTCTCACCAAGTCCCAAAGAAAGGAAAGGCGGGCCAACCATACCTCATTCATACAGCAGACCCGGGTGCTCACTGTGCGAACTTGGACTGTGACGATTCGCGATCCTATGGGTAAGACAAATACGACCGTAGTTGAACTAGATACTGACCACATCAGGCATGTTTGGTAGTCTTTTTGAGGCCGTTAGCATGGCAGTTATCACAGGATGGATCTTCCTACAGCTCGACGGCTCACTCTCTGGCATACGATCCCGACAAGGAGCACTGTACAACGCAGCTGCGCTCCAAGGCTACCTGATCCTTCTCTACGAGACATACCGACTGACCACCGACATCCAACTTTTTGACGAAGAAGCGCGACAGGGTGTTGTCAGCATACCAGCATTTCTCATCTCCAGGAGACTGGCTCGAATCCTCATTGAAGATATCCCAGTCCCTCTGGTTTTCTCACTAATCTACTATTTCTTCTGTGGCTTTCGTGCAGACGGAGCCCAGTTTCTCACTTTCTTCAGCATCATATTGTTGCATCATTATATCGCTGTTGCCTATGCTATGCTATGCGTTGCAGTCTCAAGAAACTTTGCCGGCGCCAGTCTGGTTGCTAATCTGGGGTATACCCTGCAGTCGATGGCTTGTGGCTACTTCATCCAGTCGAACACAATACCAATTTACGTTAGATGGACCAAGTGGATTGCGTACGTCTTTTACGCTTTCGGGGCTCTTTGTGCCAATGAGTTCACTGGTGCGTTCTACGACTGTCCGTACGAGGGTGGACGATCAAACCTTGCTTGCAAAGAGTACGATGGAGATTTCATCATGCAGTCTCTGGGCTTCCCGAAGAATTGGATCTGGAGGCCCATTATGGCGCTTCTCGGTTTCGCCATTACCTTCTACATTGGCGCTGGTCTGCTGCTGAAATTCTGGAACGCAGAAATCGCAATGGCGCGTGCCAGGCCATCGACTGTGGACGCTTCTGCTGGCAAGGAGAAGATGAGCGAGCGACCTGCCGAAAACGTTAGGACCATCGACATTCGCTTGAATGGGTATGCGATGGACGTGGAAAAGCGGTCGTTGCGGAAACGATGGACGAAGCCTATCCTCAAGCCGCTCACTGCGGACTTCCAACCTGGATCCTTGAATGTAATCATGGGGCCTTCGGGTTCTGGAAAAACATCACTGCTCAACAGCATGGCAATGCGGCTCAAAGACGACACATGGACGCGGTACAAGCTATTTGGTTCTATGACCTACAACGGGTTGATACCCGCGCGAGAAGTCGTACATTCAATTTCTTGTTATGTTACTCAAGATGATGACGCCCTTCTCGCATCCCTAACAGTACGCGAAACGCTCCGCTACGCAGCCGGCCTACGTCTACCAAAATGGATGACGAAGGAACAGAAGACCCAGAAAGCTGAGGAGGTTCTCCTGAAGATGGGTCTCAAAGACTGTGCAGACAATCTCATCGGAAACGATATCATCAAGGGCATCAGCGGTGGCGAGAAACGTCGCGTCACCATCGCCGTCCAGATCCTCACCGAACCACGCGTACTCCTCCTCGACGAGCCGCTGTCAGGACTCGATGCCTTCACAGCGCTGTCTATAATGGATGTGCTGCGCGGTTTAGCACAAGAAGGCCGCACGCTCATCATCACAATCCACCAGCCACGAAGCGACCTCTTCAGTCACTTTGGCAACATTCTACTTCTCGCTCGCGGCGGCCACCCCGTCTACGCCGGCCCAGCCAAGGACATGCTACCCCATTTCGCCAGTCTGGGCCACGAATGTCCACGACACGTTAACCCCGCTGACTTCGCCCTCGACCTCATCACCGTTGATCTCCAGCATGCAGCCCGCGAGAGGATCAGTAGACAAAAAGTCCGCAGTCTAATTGAGTCATGGAATGCGGATCGGTTCCCCATCGCGCGCACTGGCTCAATTACTACGCCTGCAGAGCTAGGAAGTATGGCACGCGAACCATCGTCCTTTGCTACAGCTTATTCCATCCTAATCCGGCGTGCGATCAAGAACATGTTCCGCCAGCCCGAGATCCTCATTGCGCGTATTATGCAAGTAGTAGGCTTAGGACTCGTTCTCGCACTCTACTTTTCACCGCTCAAGACGGATTATTTCTCCATCCAGAACAGGATGGGTTTCTTGGTAGAAATCGCGCCTTTGTACTTTGTTGGCAGTAAGTTTATGCCTGAAGACGTGTTATTTCCAGATGTACTGACTGACTCGAAACAGTGCTTAACAATGTCTCTATCTACCCCATCGACCGCGACGTCTTCTACCGCGACTATGATGACGGTATCTACGGCGTCGACGCTTTCTTCCTCACCTACATCTCCCTCACCACGCCCTTTGAAATAATAAGCTGCCTCATCTTCTCCGTACTCGCTGTCTTCGCCGTCGGCCTAGAACGCAATGTACAAACGTATTTCATCATCAGCTTCAACGCCTTCTGCATCACCAGCTGCGGTGAAAGTCTCGGTATTGCATTCAACACCTTCTTCACGCATACCGGATTTTCCGTAAACTGCATGGCCGTCTTCCTCAGCGTCGCGCAGATCATGGGCGGTGTCTTGTCGCTCGATGTACCCCCGTTCTTGCAGGCGTGGAACCATCTCTCGCCTGTGAGGTGGGCGATTGGCAATATGGCGCCGTTTACGCTGCGTGGTTTGAAATTCACATGCGAGGACTGGCAGAGGATCAATGGACAGTGTCCCATACAGACCGGGGAGCAAGTGCTTGATCTGTACAACTTGGACAAGAACCCGGAGATGAATCTCATGGCGCTTGGTATATGCGCAGTCGTGTATAGGTTTTTGGCGTATGTTGTTTTGAAGATGGTTAAGGAGCGGTGGGTTGGGAAGGCGTGGAAGAAATGTGGAGGGTGGCGGAAGAAGAAGAATCCAATTGAGATGTAAAAAGTGACTGGCTTTGTAGATAGAGGGGGTTTCCATGTTGACATGGTCCACGGAAGGAAATATGACAAACTACGGTTTCTCATGCGTATCGAACCAAGCCTAGTACATTAAATTCATGGCATTGAACTTACATAGAGCTGGCGTCATGGAGTAATTGCAAGTATCTATCTTGACAGTATATATCAAAAGGTAAAACCACACGTAAAGTCCCGTACTCGTCCTTGATACCCTAAGAAGAACAAAAGCTTCGGGTCACACGTATCGGATTGTCTGAAACTATTTCAACCACTTCACTGACATCACTTCCATCCAAACCCGACATCAACCCAACTCTGCTCATTCATACTTTCCACTCTCCTTAACCAAACCATCCTTCTCATTCTCACTCTTCCCCCTCCCCGCCCACTCAGGCGCCTCATCAACCCCATCTTCCTCAGCCTTATCCCCCTCCTCCTTAGTCTTATGCACGCTACTCGGCAGATGCTCCGCGGGGCTATACACGGTAATCAACTCGAGCGGCTCCTCGCCCTGAGTCACAAATTGGTGCTGCGTCCCCGCCGGCACAACAACAACGTCGCCGGCTTTTACTTGTTGGTTTTTTCCCGCGACGGTGGCCAGGCCGCGGCCCGATGTGAAGAGCAGGATTTGATCGACCGTGTGGACTTCGTCGCCGATTTCGCCGTGAGGTGGGATTTCCATGGCTACGAGCTGGCCTGGGGGGTGGGTGTTAGAGTCGTAAGGGAAAGGGAAGGGGATGGAGGGCAACGCACTGTATAGCCCGGTGTGTAGGACTGTTCTGAAATCTCCAAAACTCCTCTTTTCACTCAGGAGACCTGCGAAGTGTACCATTTCGTGCTTTGGTGGTGCATCTTCCCTGTTTCCGACTTTCTTGTACGCGTCCATTTTCGGGTTTGCTGCTGCTAATCTACCAGTGCTGCTGCTGAAGCTGCGGAGTGGAAATGCTAGGCGTTTGGAGCTCAATTGCAGGAGGCAAGATATGGTTTTAAGCATTGAGTATTTTATGAATCAGCTGTAGGCTTTTGGGGAGCGGGGAAGGTAATATAGATATGAGGTTTGCTTGTTATGCTATGCAGCGTCAGCATAGAGTGCGTGAGGTTCTAGACGCATGACGTCACCATCGCGTTCATCGCGATGCTTTGCATGTGTTGTTTAGGCTTAGTTGTCATTATGTCATGATTGTAACCACTACGTATGGCGTGGCTTCCATCTTGTATAATTGGGACAAAGAACATTGTTGAGGGGGGAAGAACATTCGATTATGGGTGTTAAACGCTTGCAAAGCGCCTGACCCTTGGATAAAATACAGAGTTTCAATGCTGTGTGATGCCGTAACTAGCTACGGCAAGCCGACTGAGAGTTCAAGCTCATACCTTCAGCGGATTGTTCTATGAACATTCCATGCCACCACACATCCATTCTAACATGAGATATTGCTGGTTTGGAAACGCAGCATGGTTCTATACCAAACATATGCTGGACTCAGCCGCTATCTGGTAACAGTGGGGTTGCATACACAGTATCCAGTAGCTCCGTTCGTTAAGGCACGGAAGCCCGCCCTATATCGCCAATACGACTTTTCTGGTATAACAAGTAAAAAATATCGGCGTTTATCTAGCCACGATTGCGGGCCGCAACCTCGTCCTTCTCTTCATCGAGCTCTCGTTGGATGTCCTCCTCATCAGTGGGCTGCGGCGCCTTGACATCCTTTGCAGGAACATCGCCTCCGCTCATTTGCCACTCCATAAGCTTGTTGAAGGCGCCCTCTGGGTTGGAGCTGAGCTGCTCGTAGGTGCCTTCCTCGGCTACTCTGCCATCAGAGTCGATGCAAATGATGCGATCGGAGCGCTTGATGGTCGACAGACGATGGGCAATGCTAATAGTAGTGTTGTTTTCCTGGAGAAGCTTATTCAGAGCTTGGTTGACAAGAGTCTCGGACTCTGCGTCAAGGGCACTGGTAGCTTCGTCGAGGATGAGAATATCGGGCTTTTTGATCAGTGCTCGTGCAATAGCAATGCGTTGCTTTTGTCCACCGGAGAGTTGTGTACCCCGTGCACCAGCGTGGGTCTCAAGGCCGTCGGGCTACACTCGTTAGCGACATACTACCTATACAGAAGCTGATACTTACGAAGTCGCTGATGAACTGGCAGTTAGCCTTTCGCGCAGCAGCCACTATCTCGGCGCGAGTGGCGTTGGGTACACCATATGCGATGTTTTCTGCGATGGTTCCGGAGAACAACACAGGCTCCTGACCGACATAACCGATCTTTCTCCTCAATTGCTTCGCGTTCAAGGTGGTAATATCTCTCCCATCAATCGTAATGGTACCTGTGTTCGGAACGTAGAAGCGCAAAAGCAGGCTGGCGACTGTAGACTTTCCAGCTCCGCTAGGGGCTACAATAGCGACATTGGTACCCTGTTCGATCTTGAAGTTCAGGTCCTTGAAAATCGTAACAGCTGGTCTGGTGGGATAGCTGAAGGATACGTTCTTGAACTCAATTGGGCCGCGTGCCGACTTGACTGGTAGACCCTTGGTCGGCGAGATAGTCGGATTGCGATCTTGAAGCTCAAAGAGACGACTGGCAGCTCCGACGCCCTTCATCATTTCACCGTAGAAACCAGACAAACCAACCATACTTGAACCGGCGTAAACGGTGTACATCAAGAACGATGAAAGCTCACCAATAGAGATGACACCGTTCTTAACCATGTTGCTACCAACGTAAAGGATAGAAATGATTGTCAAGTTACCCATGAGTCCTGTACTGCCGTAGAAAGTGGCAGCTACTACAGCTTCTTTCTTTCCTAGGGCGAATATCCTCTTGATCTGACGATTATAACGCGACGCTTCTTGAACCTCACCAGCAAAGGCTTGACTGGTCCTGACGTTGCCCAATCGCTCTTCAGCGATCTTGGTCAGGGTTCCCAGGTTCTTTTGAATCTTTCGACTGAGGTTCCGTAAAGATCGACCCGAGAAGAAGGCGACGAGTGCTACAGGTGGAGCGATCAAAGCGAGAATACCGGTAAGCTTGAGACTGACGAAACCCATCATGGCGAAACCAGCTGCACCGCTGACTAGCGCACGCAGCCCATCCGACAAGTTCTGTGTAATGCTCTTTCCAACAATAATAGTATCGGAACCAAGGCGGGAGATGAGGTCTCCAACCCTGTTTGCGTCAAAGAACTCGGCGTTTTGGACAAAGGTTTTGCGGTACAGCTGCGATCGTAGACGTGCAACGATACGCTCTCCGACGATTCGTAAAATGATGATACGACCAAAGTTGAAAGCAGCGCCTGTTGTCAGGACACCGGCTAGAGCGAAGTAGAAGACAGCGGGGGTCATTCCGAAGAGCAGTCCGTCGGTATTCTCGGTCGAAGTTGCGGCGTCCAGGATTTTACCAATTGAGAAGGGTACAGATAGAGAGATACCAGATCCGATAATCAAGAATAGGAATGCCCAAGAGAGCGTCCCCAATTCGGGACGGGCGATCTTGATCAACCTCCAAATTTCCTTCATACCACCCGGTGTGCCTCCCGAGCCCGAGCCATCCTTACTGAGCTTCGCACTTAGGTTGACTTGTTTTGCTTGTGTTGCCTTTTCCGACTTTGCGAAGCCTTGTTCCTCGGCCTCGGCCTCGCCATCGTGCTCTTCCACGTCCACAATGCCCTTTTCCTTGATCTCATCCCTGTAAGACTTGCGCTGTCTTAAAGGTTTTGTATTGCTAGTAACCTCGGCCAATAACCGCGACACGGTGAACATTCGAATTGATTGTTGTATGCCATGGTGGCGGATAGTGCCCGCAGTTGCGGATCCGAGTATTGACGGCGGGGGGAAAATATATGCTGCGGCGGTATTTGGCGACCCTCTATATAACGAGGGCTTGGATATCGGACTTGAAGCGAACGATCTCGATGTCGCTGGAGTAATCGTCGAGATGCGCGACAGTATTTGGGAAAACAGAGCTCCGTTTCCCGGCCCATGCCAGGCCTTTCCGGAGAAAGCCAGCGGCGTGCGCATGGCTTAAAAAAGGTAGACGACGACGGCTACCGGGTTCCAAGGGTCGATTGGGCCGTTATTGAGTCATTCGACATGGCGAGAGGTGGGTTGGCGCGAGAGAAGACGACGTCGGAGATGTGATCAAAAGTTCGGCTTCGCTGATGACGACAGAAACGCCGCGTTAATCTGGCGCCGACACGTGCCGCGGCAATTCCGACACCTTAGGATACTCCGGAGAAGGCGTAACTTCAACACGCTTTGAGCCTTGCGCGGTGTCAATTACTGTCAAACGTCGTTTGTGTTTGGTTATGTTTGCAATGCACGACGTCATCAATTCGGGGGTTGCCGCAGCACATTGCTCTTGCGGTGCCGACACTTGTTTCCCCTCTCTGACCAATGCACTAGTTAATACGACACAACACATGCAATAGACAAACAACTGTTATATGCCATGCCATTCCATATAGATCAATTTTTCGGAATAGAGTCAGACAGTATGCGATATCCAACACAGCCACAGCGATGACGGGTATGCGATTGAGTCATCCTTACTCACGCGATTGGAGTCATCGCACTTGTCCTGCGTTTTATTTACAAGAGCTGTAGTTTTGCGCATGTTTCGGGAAATACTACCAACCATCTATTATAGGACCGTAGGACTATTTACTACCATGTCATCAGCCCCCTCCCCAATCCATCTGGATGGGACCACGCTCGAAGGTGGCGGCCAACTCCTCCGCATAGCCATCGGTCTCTCAGCCCTCACTAAAAAGGCCATCGCCATCACGTCCATCCGCGGCAAGCGTCACGGCGGCGGCGGCCTCAAAGCCCAACACCTAACCAGCGTCCAGTGGCTCAGTTTAGCCAGCAACGCGCAAACTATTGGCGCAGAACTAAAGAGCAAGGAATTAACTTTCACCCCCAATGCCCTCCACACCCCCAATGCCCTCCACACCCCCAATGCCCTCCACACCCCCAATGCACAATCTCAAGCACACATCCAAATTCCTCAAACCACTCCCGGAAGCATAACCCTCATCTTACAAGCCATTCTCCCCTATATCCTCTTCTCCTCCTACCACTCCTCCCCAGTCTACATCACAATAACCGGCGGCACAAACGTCTCAAATTCGCCGTCCATAGACTACACAACCCAAGTCCTGCTTCCCATGCTCAAACTCATTGGCATTCCACCCATCTCAACCCAGCTCCACTCCCGCGGCTGGTCCCAAGGTGCCCCCGTACTCGGCAGCGTGACCTTCACCATCACCCCCCTCCAAGCCCCTCTCCCTGCCTTCGACCTCACCACCCGCGGCGCCATCATCTCCATAAAAGCAACGATACTCGCTCCAGCATCCAGCGAACAGAATTTCCGCGATGAACTAGGCCTCATGTTCGAGAAGCGTGGATCCCATTTCTTCGACACTGAACAAACCCCAAATATCGAAATATCCTTCCAAGACTCCCACCACGAGAAACGTTTCTATATTCTCCTCGTAGCCAAAATGTCCTCTGGCATAAAACTAGGCCGCGACTGGTTGTATGACCGTCGCGTCCCCTCTTCCTCCTCCTTCTCACACATCCCCGCCATGATAGCAAAAGTCTCGTCGGACCTACTCGCGGAAATCGAACATGGCGGCTGTGCGGATGAGTGGATGAGAGACCAATTAGTCGTTTTTCAGGCGCTGGCCAAGGGGGAGAGTAGGGTGGATGGCGGATATAGGGGTGCGGAGAGGGTGGAGATGAGTCTGCATGCGAGGACTGCAGTGTGGGTTGCGGGAGAGGTGGCGGGGGTGCGGTTTGATGAGGAGGGAGGGTGTAGGAGCGTGGGATTTTATGGTGGGGTGGTTGAGGAGGAGGAGGTTGATGGGGATGGGAAGGGGAATAGGGATGATGATGAGGGTGGGTTGGTGGAGAAGATGAGGAAGTTAGCGGTCTCTAAGGAGGATGTTTAAGCTGCTATGTTTGGGGGCATTTGTGGCATGTAGGATTCTTTGAATCGGTGTAGGAAGCCGTTTTTGGTATGATGATATAACTAGATTACCATCTTACCCAAAACTAACCCCCCTCCCTTCTTTACTCACTCTTGTATACACTATCCAGTATCTACTTAGCAGGACTACAGATGATTAAGAATTTCTCATCTGAAGTAGCCCATCAGCAGCTCAGCGAGAGCTGGGTTACTCGCTTCATCAACCGACACGAGATCCATCTTATCTCAAAGTAGACCACCGCCATAGATCGTACGCGCCACCTGGCTGATTCTGAGTCGAAATACCGTCTCTACTTCGAGCTACTGCATCGAAAGATCACTGAATACCACCTTGAGGCTCGAGATATATACAATATGGATGAGAAGGGCTTCTTAATTGGCTTAATAGGTAGAAGCAAGAGGATCTTTAGCAAACGCTAATGGGATAAGAAAGAGGTTAGAGCATCTCTCCAGGATAGATCACGCGAGTTTCTGACACTCCTGGCCTGCTGCTGCACCGATGAGAGCTCATTACCTCCAGCCATCATCTACGCAGCTGCAAAAGGAGCTATACGATCAAGTTAGGTAGAGGATATTAAGGTAGGAGAGCATAAGGTCTTTATCTCATCATCTCTAACAGGCTAGTCAAACGATAACGTAGGCCTAGCTTAGCTTGAGCAGGTGTTTGATCGCTGTACAAAGCAACGATTAGGTAGATAGAGATTGCTTATCCTTAATGGCCATGGATCTCACCTCACGATGGAGTTTATTAAGTACTGCGATCGCCATAGGATCTTCCTTATAATCCTTCCTCCCCATTCGACTCATACGCTCCAGCCGCTAGATGTAGTGCTGTTCAAGCCACTCTCTCAAGCCTACTCTAACGAGCTCACCAACTATCTACATAAGGCTCAAGGCCTCGTTCCAATTAAGAAAGGAGACTTTTTCCCGCTCTTCTGGAGCGCCTGGAGATCCTCCTTCGTGGATAACCTTATATTGAAGGCCTTCGAAGCTACTAGGATCTGGCCAATAGATGCTAACGTTATCCTTCGTAGATTTACCAGCACACCAGAAGCTGAGAGAAGCTCATTATCAGGGCTCTCTAACAATGATTGGAGAAAGCTTAATCAGTTAGTCCGAGCTGCTGTGAAGGATACCCAACAAACGGAGTTTAAAAAGCTGCGTTTAAGCGTTCACCATCTCTCTGTACAGAATGAGCTTTTAAAGCATAAGAATGAGGGCTTAAAGGAGGCTCTTCAGCACAAGCAGAAGCATAAGAAGAAGAGTAAAGTCCTTGACCTTCAGCAGCGCCAGGAGTATCACGGTGGCTCTGTCTTCTGGTCTCGCAAGTTGCGTGAGCTCGAGCTAGAGAA